CGGCAAGAACATGTAAGTTGGTCATCACAGCTCTGAACTTCTGTAATGAATCTCAGCCCACTCTCGTTTCTAGCCCTGACATCTGTTAATTAATGTGCAACGACTCAGGGGAAGGCGGGTACGATGAGCAGGCGTGGATCCGTGCTGAAGCCAGGTACGAACCCGTAAAGTCACGTGTCAAAACGCACGTTTTGCGCGGCACTGCGACAAGAAAAGATGTCTCTGACTTTTAATATAGGAGACGATTTGAGGAGAACCGTTCGTTAGCGCCTGCATCTGCAATTGAAGAAGCCGTACGCCAAGGCCACAACCAGGTAGATGTGGCGTTGCACTACAAGATTTGCTATCCCCGCCCTCAATATGTGGACCCATGCACTTTGGGTGGCGAAAGCAACTTTCAGCGTCAATCTTCGCGAGCCAATACGAAACTTGGACGTTTGCACAAGAGTAAAGTGCAGCGTCAATTTCAACCCCGCGGACGCTCATAATCGTATCATAGGATACGTGATATTGAAATGGTATCAACTGAAAACATTTTTTATTATTACTATATTTAGTCCTCGACCCTAATAATTTATATAACTAAACTACTGACGAAACCTACACACTAATTAATCACGATGCTACTGCTAACAATGCGTTGATAGAACACCGATGCATTGCCAGGAATTGCGGAACAGTTATATGAAACCCAAGCGTTTGCATGCGACCTACAAGTTGTACCACTTGATCTTTTGTGCCATTTAAATCGCAGAAAAAGTCGCTGGAGATGTCCACATCATTCCGATTGAGTTCCCGTTGCCATAGTTGTAACAATATTTGAGCATACATGGGTACACTAACGTGGCGTGGTGGCTTGGACAGTGAGTGTCGACGTCGCAATGCTTGTTCCTCCTCGTCTTGAGCAATGACAAGTGCCTGTATATCAACTAGGGAAGCCAAAGCACGAGTAGAACTGGACTTACGTAGACCATTAGTCTTCGGCAAGATTGAGGGTGGCAACGGATTCTCCATTGAAGTTTGACTGAGAAAACCGGATTGGGACGTGAACTCAAGGTAAATTTTCAAATGAAGTGCAACGACGACAAGAATGGCCACTAGTTGATATTGTCCAATGAAAAGAGCGGTTTCATGTGGCGGTTGGGGGAGTTCAACGGGTCGTTGCAGTGCAAAAACTTGGCTCGAGTTGAAAATCTGCTTTATCTTTATAAGTAATTAATTACCAGTATATCATACTTCGTGAATTAAAAGTATTGTAGCGCCAAAGGTAATTACATCAAGTCTTTATTTCAATTTTATTCAGACGTCAATTCGATGCGATTTATACCTCATTCAGTAAAAGGGAAGAGCTACGAAAGACTGATCGCATTTGAGAACCACGATCGTAACTGTCGTACGTTCGAACTTGTTAATGAACAGATATAACCGGCGGTGCCACCGCTGGTGTGACACAACATGGGCAAAGATGAGACACGATTTCTGGACAGATGCTATCGATACTTTCCAAAATACAGAAGCTGAAGTCAGGATGTACCTCCAGAAAAACAATCTAGACGAGACGTACGCTTTCGTCTCATCGATCAACGTCTTGACTGCAAAAAGCCGGACATCAATGACTTTCTTCCTCATCTAAAGGAAAAAGAATTTTGCTACTATGGCTATATATGGGTAAAGATCCAATTTCGGATCAATAGCTACAATTGTAATTAATTACAAGGCTCGAGAACAGAAACAGTAACTCTCTCTATTGTGGAGGTGGCAACAAGTCGTTTGGTTGGATTGGTCGCATGCACTCTCCTGTAATAGGGTTGATCCCTTCACGCGAGTTGTGCAACTGCAACTTTTGCGCACGCAACATGGCACGATGTTTAATTGTGGCATCCGCTGCCTGAAGTCGCTCGCCATCTTTACCATCATTATACTTCAATGTGATAAAATTAAATGGTTCGCTGCATTTATTTCGTCGGGCTTTCGAACCTGATGCACGAAGCGCGTCCTCCCGTCGCTTTTCTTCGGCTGAAGCTGCATCCATAGCATCCCAGCGACGTACATCGCGATCAACATTTTCACGTCGACGTCGTTCGTATTGCATATGAACACGAGCACG